TGTGGTTCGAGACTATGGCCGTGTACAAAACCAGACGCATAAGCTTTTCGGCGACATAGAGGAATATCTGAAACACTTGCCCACACGGGATGTTGGCGGCAGAGTGCTGAAGCTGTACGAGCTGCCGTTTTGCTGCAGAAGCAGGCAACTACAAAGTTTGTGCAATGACTTGGTGCAGGCCTCTCATTCGAAGAGATCACCAGTCAAGTTCATTGTGGCACCTACACACAGTGGCAAGACAGCTTGCATCTTGCCTGCTTTTCTACAGATGCGACGGGACAGAACCATGACCCACTACATATATCTGCCTTTTCACAATAATGGGGACAATCATCACGAGCCACCCGTGATTCCAGATGGGATGTTCAAAAAGATGTCCGAATCCGCTATTGAGCAAATTGGCTTTGCCTACCTGATTCACTGCTTGAAACGCATGCTATGCTCAGGATATGCACGGCAGAACGATCGCTTTAATGCCCAAGATGCACGAGATATCCAACTGGACTGTAATGGCAGGAGGGGACCGAGCTATGCAAAGAAACTCAACGACGAGTATGCGAAATTGATCCAGGGTATATTGGGGGATGGTGGGGTTAAGCTTCTGCTTCATGTCGATGAGCATGGCAAAATGGAGAAGAACCCATTTTTTCGAAGAGGTGCCCTTGTGAGGGCAGCGGGGAATGAAAGAGTTGCTGTGATCGCCACGTTTACTGAAAAGCCGCCTGCGCTTAGCGTATCTAACGTGAACAGCGAATCCTCAGAGTGTTGTGGTGTCCCGTGCACATTGCCCCGGCCGGACATGGAGAAGCTCACATCAGAGGAGTTTCAAGGCTACCCAAACAAGAATCCCCTGCTGGTGCCACGTGACATTTTGGAAAGCCAGGACACTGAAGTCAAGCGCTATTTGGCATCACTAAGGATTTCATTGGGAATAGCGCTGGAAGGAGATGGCTCGCCGCCGTGGAGTGTCGCTCTATTTGGTGTTGTTGGTGTGAGTTTGGGCAACCTTCATTTCCAAAATGAGGCTGCGGTTTTCTTTAAGACGTTGAGGCACCTCCTGACAGAAACGAATCGAGCGGCTCGGTACCGGGTCCCCTTGTCCATGAGCGACTTCAAGGTGGATGATGACCAAAGAGGCCAAAGACTCCACAACCTGTCACTTTTCATGAAGGAGCGGGTCGTTCCTCGACAGGAGTGTTTAGAGATTGTCTCCTTAAGCGTGGGGTGTGCTGGGGTCGGATGGGTGGCACATGTGCTTTTTGAAAAGCCATACGATAGTTTGAGCTGTGTGTTGGAATAATCGTATCGTCTCGGCTTCATGGGGAGCGGGTAAGATCTTGTCATTCGGCAGGTGAGCTGGATCTGCGGATTCCTGAGTCCTCACTTCCTTGATTTTTCGCCTTTCTGCATGTTAAGCATTCTCGGCCGTATTAGAGCTGTGCCAGGTGGGTGGGTAGAATTGAATTGTGCCCCCGGAGGAGCCTGTGAGCGCCGACAAGACAGAGGTCACCCTACAAGAGAGGCTCCTGGATGCGATCAAATTCTCCCGTTATCATTGGGACTTTGAGGGTAGAAAGGGAGCAAGCGAGCGATTGCTGCAATTCTTAAATGGTATCCCCGTCCAAACATTTTATGATGGCAGCAGCGATGCGACTGGGCGCCGGAAACATCACCCCAAGGACGCTCCTGGTGGAATTCTGGCGACTCAGGACATAATTACATTGCCTGTTTCATCCTTCTTTCATCATCTGCCAAAGACGAAAAGGAGATTGTACGAGGTCCAGAGCAAGCCGACTTTTGCTCGAGCAAGATCTTGGAGCGGGCCTACCTCTGGTCGCTTGCCATTGGGGGCTTCAATGGCACCGAATTTTCGAGTGTAGAAGCTGGTCGAATTCTGGAAGTAGACACGGCACAACAGATATTGAGACATTCAGGCATTCGACATGGCGTGAAGATTAACCGCGAGGCCGCGAACAAACTGAAATCTTCCACCCTTTACTATGCGGACGAGGGCAAAGGCAAAAAGAACCACCCTGGTGCAGATATGTGGTTCATCACTTGCAATAGAGAACTGGTCCTGTTGGAGGTGAGCGGCTTGGTGCACAACATAGAGCTCCTGACGGAAAAGGTGAGGGTGCTGCAGTCAGCAAACAACAACCCCGGACAGAGTTATGTGCTGGCTCCCAATCATAATGTCAGATTTCAATATCCGAAAGGCACAAAAGGAGTCTGTGTCGAGATAGCTGAACCGGCAAGGCAGCTGTTGGGTGGCCTTGTGCAACTCCTGGACTGGATGCCTTTAGTCTGAAGAGGTAGCCAAGTGGGAAGCGCATCCCAACATACTCTTTGACAGACGCGCTGTCAATGCAAAAAGGGCCCCGTCGCTTGCACCATCTATTGGGACTACTGGGCTTCATCAACATGCCTGTGAGTCAGAGAGTCAGTGCGACTCTTCCTGCAACATGTAACCATCCTAACCCGTTGCCAGAGTTTTGCGGCTTTCAGCCATGACATGCAACCATCAAGAGCCGAGATTTTTAGCGCGCTCTTTCCGGCCGAGGCTTTTCAATACTTGAAACCAGGGGCTCAGCTCCTGTCTAGCGAGTCAGAGTGGAGTTCCTGAAGGTTTGAGACTCGGGGTGTATTTGGGCTGAAGGACTGGTAAAGCCCTGCGTCCCACCCGGACCGCAATCCATAAGACAGCAAGGCATCGGCAGCGGCAGGCAGGCTAACGCGGTTTGATTGCAATAAGGCTGGAGATTTAAGGGTGACATCCGGATTTGAGGAGTTTTGGAGTTGGAGCAGATTGTGTGGCTGAGGCTTTGGGGCAAAACGGGCTCGGGCACTCTGCGTAAGTGCTGATTTCTTCAATAACATTCTTCTGACGCTAAGGAATATATGGTGAATCTGTGTATTGAATGACTTGTGCGTCGAGGCCACTTTGAACACAGATTAGTTGGCATAGGGAGCTGCTGCGTGGAAGGGTGAACAGGGCGGGCATCCCGGGTTTAGGTTTAGGGTTTAGGGCTTAGGGTTCAGCAGCTCCGGATCGAGCAGTTTTACAGTAGAGTTGTATTTACGGTTTCGAGATGAGATAACACCCACCCACCCATAGAATCCCATAACATTAAGAAAATATAAAGTTCCCTATATTCATTCAGAAAAGTTCTACCTACAACTTACCTTCTCACACTTTCATGTTGCTCTCTACTATTTTAGAGTTCGGACTATACACATCAAGTTTGCAAGTTTTTTTGTAAACCCTTGTCTTCCTTCAACATCAAATGTGTAAGGCTTTTTGTAAACCCTTGTCCTTCTTCAACATCGAAATTGTAAGATTTTGTAAACCCTTGTCCTTCTTCAATATCAAAATTGCAAGTTTTTTGGTAAACTTTTGTCTTTCTCTTCAACATCGAAATTGTAAGGTTAACCCTTGTCCTTCTTGAACATCAAGTT